GTAGTAGTAGTAGTAGCAGTACTGTTGATGATATAAATCCTGCATTAGCTTAAGGATTCGAAGCAATGGGAATTATGGTATATTCCTTATTATGGGTAATGCAGGATTTATATCAGCAGCCGTAGTAGTAACAATAACGATCAAAGTAATATTAATAAAATAATCATAGTCTAATGTTACGACGAGAATGAGAACGATGACGAACTTCTATTGTTACGAACAAAGAAGAATAAAATTACGCTAATGATATAGTGCCAGGATGGAGGCCGCAAGTGGGAGCGAGAAGCGCTGGGAGGAGGACTCCTCTTCATGCGCCTCGTCGAGGCGTCTCGAAGGGCGACGGAGGGGTTCCGGAGAGATGTCGAGCTGCAGGAAGTTGGGTTTAGGGTTTAGGGTTTACGCTGCCATGATGGTTGTAGCTGATGTCGTTAAGATGGCCCTTTTATTGTCTATGTTCGTGTTATTGCTATCAGGATTACTTTACGTATTGCAATGGCTTCTACTATCCTGATCGAAGGTCCGTATATACTAGCATAGTGGTATAAATCTCGTTACGAGTCTTATGTTGCTTTCTGTCATGTTTGCTATTGTTCACGTCACTGCTGCTGTCTTACTAGTGATTGTTGTCATCAGTATTATCATGACTATTGGTATTAACCTGTTTTAAAATGATGAAGAGTATCGCAGCTACAAGGCTGCTTGGATTAAGCCAGGCTATAGGTTTGCAAGACGGAAGCTCTTCTGCAAACGTGGTTCCAGGGTTGATTTGCGCTCGGCTTGCCTCAAACCCTAAACTCCTAAACCCCAAGCCTCACCCGCTTGTTGCAGATGTGTGGAAGGCGATGGACGCATCGCCGATTGGCAACTGGATGGACGCCGAGGCAGTCCTGGAGCTACAGGCCATGAAGGAGGAGCGCAGGATCTCATTCTGAATTTCGGTAACCCTTCGTTGTAACCCTGTAGAAGTCTTCTAGTATCTTCCCGTTGAGTAATTCCTTGCAGCCCAAAAATCGTAAGTCTGGAAGATTTTGCAAAGGGCTGCCGGGCAGGCAAGACTCATGAAGTGAGCTTTAAATTTATGACAGGTTTTGTTGTGGTTTATGGTTCTGTCCCTGTGTCATTTTGTGGGCATGCTCGTTGTTTGCCAGAATCGGACATATAGTCATGGGTGTGAAGGGAAATCCGGAGTCCTAACCTGCTTGTGTAATGCGTATTATTATTGCGCGTGTCACGGTTCGTCTTTTTGTAGCATTTGTGTGCGAATCGTGCTGCCGCCACAGTCCCGTGTTCATTTTTGGGCTTGAGCAATTTTGGAAGCCGTTAGAGTTACAGTCTCAGCAGGGGCGGAGTCTAGAAGCCACGCCGTGGAATTTTCCAAACCGTGCAGCACGCTTCCGCCTCCAAAAGTCGTGCTGCCCTCGCAGCCCACACGAAACGTGTTCTCGCCACCGTGCGGTGCGTGTTCTGGGTCATCAATCGTGCTCCCGCCACAGTGTGGTCAGCATTTTATGGACTTATGAAATTCATGGGTGCGCCTGGATGTTTCTCGGGTCTGTGGGCAGGCCTAAAGGCCCTGAACATGTTCGTTGCTCTACCTTCTACCCTAAACCCTAAACCCTAAGCCCTAAACCCTAAGCCCTGAACCCTCTACCCCAAACCCTAAACCCTCCACCCTAAACCCTAAGCCCTAAGCCCTAAGCCCTAAACCCTATTACCCCTTCTGCAACCCTGGGTCCTCTTCCTTCTGCGGAGCTTGGGAGAAGAGCGGAGCTGGGCACTAGGAGACCTTGGCGCGGATCGAGGAGGATGGCCTGGAGGCAGTGGGGATTTAGGGTTTTGGGGATTTAGGGTTTGGGGTTTTTTAGGGTTTGGGGTTTAGGAACCTTGGAGTTTAGGAACCTTGGAGTTTTGGAGGATCGGTTTGGGACACTGTTAGAAAAGCTCCTGACCCTGCCATGTACCTGTAAGATAGACTTCCTCATCTGATCTCGATGTTGACCTCTACATCCTACATCCCAGAAAACACCACAAAAGGCCCATGATTTCGAGCAAATGCCCGCAGACCAAACCTCTATCCCCAGCGCCTCAACCCTTTGGTCGGCATCCGAAGCGGTAGGATCCCACAATTTAAGGAGCCCTTTGTGACACTTCAACCCGAGGCCAAGCTACAGTGTAGTTGTAGTGACCTTACTTCTGACCCGACCACCTAGAAGTCTGCTGATCCTGTTAGGATAAGCCCTAAGCCCTAAAAACGCAAAGCCGCAAGCCCGACGCCCCAATGAGCAGAGGCTGAACCGGTTGCACCCGTCTCATCGAGTCTGGGTTGGAATCTCAGCTTCCGGAGCTTTTCGTCCTGGGCCCCCTCTGCAGAGTTGAGAGTTGAGATGGGCTTGGTGAGCTTTTTCGTGCCTCTGGTTTTCTGGGGGTTGGAGGATCAGTTCAGGGTTCTCAGGTTAGAAGTCAGGTCATGATAGCTACAATTGTTTACAGCCCAACTGGCCTTGCCTATAGCTACCCATGCACCTTTAAGAAGAAGTGACGTAGGAGTTTCAGAAGTGCGGTGCTGCAGGGACCCTAACGTAGGCTCTAACAAGTAAGATCCGTGCTGCGGGGACCCTAACGTAGGCCCTAACAAGTAAGATCCATCATGAAGGACAACCAAACAAGCTTCCCCCCCAGCAGCCTACAAACCCATACCTGTTTATACAACGACTCCAAACAGAAGCCCCCTCTGACTCTAAAGCGCCGATGTGAGAATTTCACAAAGCCTTTTACCGGGAAGCCTGAACCCCAAAACGCTGTTCGAACAGAGGCAAACAGTGAAATCCCAAAGCAAAGCCAAAAAGACCCAGCACTCAAACGCAGAGCGCTACGCCACAGCCCAAAAAAATCGCTCTACTTCGCCCCCAAGGCGAGGACTTCACGGCTCGGGGCTTGCTGGTCACGCCCAAGAGCGAGGAAGAGCTGAGGCCCTCAACCCTAAACCCTCAGGAGAGCTTGAGGATTGGTTTTTTGCTTGGGGTTTTTAAGGGCTCTTGTGGGGGTGTGAATAGGGGTGAGGTTTAGGGGTTTAGGGGGTTCGGGGTCCAGGGTTTAAAGCTTTGGGCTGCACTGCGGTTTCAGCTTATTGTTCTGAGAGTTCTGTTTTTGGCTTTGCGGGGACTTGGTGGCTTGTTTGGCGTCGGGACTCGCTTTGGGATGCATGCTTCAGAAGTGGTGACGGGAAAGGGTCCCTCGAAAGGGACCATGATCTCGAGCAACCCACGCGCGATGGTATGGAAATTCTGTGACGTCCCAACCGAGCTTCGGAAGTTTCTCCCGGCTCCAGGCGGTGGCTCTCCGGCCAGCGACTGGGTGGGCAAGAAGCCGGTGACTTCCCCTTCGAGAACAGGCAAGCCGAGGGCTGGCCGCTTTTCAGCACGGCATCAGACGGTGCCGACATCGAGGTTTCGAATCTGAAGCCCAAAACATCGGCAACCGCAAGCAAACCCTCGGCCCTAGAACCTGCGACCCCCCAGGTCCTGAATGAGCTCTCCAGCCTTAGTGGAGCCGCGTGTAGATGGGCTTTGAGCTTTGGAACTCTGCCAGGAGACTGCGAAAGGCACCGCCCAAGCTGCCCCTGGCCCGGAGGTTTTAGGCTTCTGTTGTAGGTTTCGGGTTTGGGGCTTACAGGTCCAGGGTTTCGGGCTTGGGCTGTGCAGCTGGGGTTAGGAAAGTTTAGCACTTGCCTTAAAGCCTTTGGGGTTTAGGACGGCTCCGAGGTCTTTTTCGGAGTCATTTCTCGGGTTTATCGATATCTTCCAGCACTTCCAAACAAGAAGGACATAGAGGTTTGAACATTTCGGGTGTCCGTTGCTTGACGGCTTCTGGTGCTTACCTTCAGCAGCAGCACCAGCAGCTGCTTCTGAAGCGCACCATTGTTAAGATTGCATGTTTCGTGGATTATGCTGCCACAGCCGCTTTTGATGTCTTGCGCTGGAACTGCTGTGCATTGGACATCATCTTTCAACTCCTCTGTGCTGTTGCTACCACTGGTCTTGATTGCAACGGTTTGCTTGTCGGGTGAGCAACCCAAAGCCACACTACTACTCCCGCTGTTACTGTTGCTGCCATTGCCACTCTGACTGCCACAACAAGTCAATGCCTACGTTGATGCAGCAGGCCCAACGGGAATCCCAAACCAAGCGCCGAATGCTGCAGCCGAGGCCCAACACCGGCTTTCCCTACACGAAGGAGGAAGCCGAGAGGGCTCAAGAAGAGAACATGATCGCGTGAACTTTTAAAAGTCCGAGTTTGTGACGTTCGCGGACCCTCCGGGCCCCACGTTGGACCTGTTTAGCGCGGTCCGTCGGGCCAGACCTCAGACTGTCGACGAAAGCGAAAAGCATGCTTTCCTGAGAGGTTTAGGGTTTGGGGTGTACTGTATCCTAAACCCTATGATCCGTTACTATCTCGGCCAACTGTCGGGCCCACGTCTTCTGGCAGGTACCACGAGCATCAGTACGAAATTGACCAGCGCGGTCTTGATGCCGGACCCTCATGGTTGAGATTGGGGTTGAAGGGTTGAAGTTTGGGGATGTTGAACATCTGCCTATGGGCATTTCTGCACTGCGAGCTGAAAAGGTGATGCTGGGATTGCCCTTGCAGACTCCGGAGGGTGAGCTTGGAGTGGCCTTCCCACCTGAGAACCTGCCAAAGGCTTCTTGGCCGCAAGACTCTGCAATCGACTTTGCGCGGCGGTTGAGAGTGCCCCTAAACCCTAAGCCCTAAACCCTATGGCCCCCTTTTTGGCAAGCAGGTGCAGGTCGGTGTGATGGAAGACGAGAACGAGGCCGGCTCCCGCAGGCTGAGGTCGGGAGGCAAGCGTTGCAGCAGAGTTCGACGGAAGGTCGTCATCGGCTTCATTGGTTGGTACGGGCACGTCTCGCGCATGCTCGTGTCACGGACCCAAAGTTGTCTGTAGGCTTGGAGTGGCTCCTGAAACTCTGAGCTGGTCCCAGGTTTCACTGGTGCAATTCTCCATTGAAAGACAAGTGGGAGGAGAACAGCTTTGCATGCCCCGGCTAGCGGCCCTCCCGGCTTGCGAAGCGGTGCGGAGGAGATAAATGCTGTCTACGATGCTGCGGAAGCCATCGAGGACGGACCCCGCAAGTGTTTGCAAGATTCGAGTTCCTTGCAGTTCCAAAAATTCGCCACGACGATGACGACTAAGGGATGGATGCCGCAGGGTCCTCAGCATGTGGGAGTTTCCGTTATACTAAGGGTACCTTAAAATTGGGGTCCTTATCAGAAGGATCCTACTATTTGGGGGTACTATATTGGGGTCCCCTATTTTCGGAAACCCCCATGTGCCACCATCCCAAGCTGCAGCATCGCCCTGCCATTGGCCTCGCACTTTCAGAGTCGAGATCGTTCCTAAACCCCAAGCCATCGTCCCTGAAATCCTACCAGGCCCCGACAAAACCCCTGAACCCCCAAAAAACCCCGAAAAACCCTAAACCCCCAAGCGCCCTCTTCCCTCTGCTTTCGAGGCTCTCCCTGGCCATGTCCGTGGTCTCCACCCGCCACTTCGAAGTGATGGCGCGGGAGCCTTCGGAGCCGCCAAGCCCTCGGGGAAAGCACTCCTCTGTCTCCCTGTCTCTCTCTGCCTGTCTCTGTCTGTCTCTCTATGTCTATCTCTCTCTCTCTCTACATATGTCTCTCTCTCTCTCTGTCTCCCTCTCTCTCTTGCTGCCGCTGCTTCTGGCGTTGTTGCTGCATGTTGCTGCTGTCAGTGACGGTTTCAGCTTTGTAGGGTCGAGGTTTTGGTAGTCGCAAGAGGGTTCCCTGTGTTGAATGTTTAGCGAGTTGCAAACAATCATAGACGTAGAGGCTTCTTCCTCACCGTGGCAGTAGTCCCGACCAGTAGCCACCGTGGTAGCAGGAAGCGGCCACCGATAGATTTATAGGACATTTATAGGGTAGTCTTGGTAGTCATAGCATCGTCAACAGTATGAGAAAAGGAAGATCTTGTTAGGGTTGTGGCAAGATTTTGCAGCCTTTTTCGTGCGCACAGTTTGTCACGAGACACTCTCTCAGGGATTGTCGGTTCGGGATGCAACTACCCATTTCTCTAGTCGTGCATGCGTCTGCTTGAACGAACACTTGGTGTTAGGGTTTAGGGTTTAGGGTGTACTGTCGTACACATTGACACAGATGGCAGTGGCCCAGGTGGTCGGTGGCTGCAACCGGCAAGTCTCCACCGCTGGGTGGTCCTGTGCCTGGGTCTTAGCGTTCCCGGCCCTCCCCAAAGCCGCCCCTTGCCGCCCAAGACCTTTCCGATTCGGACACCTCAGGTGGCGAGCGATTGCCACTGCGCGACAGGTGATCGAGGCGAGCAGTCGCCCTCTTTGTGACACTTGAGTGTGGGATGTCTTGCACACTGAACCGCTGCCACCGCTTGACCTAACCCGGCCGTCTCCAGCTATGACTGCACCGAAAGTAGGCCCACAACCCTACACGCTGAGCCCCATACCCAGGAAGCCTTGTACAAGATTTAGTCCAAGATTTAGATGATGCACATGCGGCGTCCGAACCCGAGGCGTATCGGCTGCCGAAGCCTCTTGTTCGACTTCCCTGCAACTGAGACCCCGAGGGTTAGGCCTGTGACAGGAACGGGCTCTCCGTCATCCCTGAGTAAGATTCAGCGGTCAGGGTTAAGGGCTTCGTGATTTAAGGACGTAGGGTTGTAGGGTTTTAGGGTTATAGGGTTTTCAGGGGTGGTTGGGTTCAACGGACCTTTGCATTCTGCAGCAGAGCTGCCATGCTTCCTGAAGAACAGAGCACGCCAGCTGAGCTGCAAGCCGCAATGGAAACCGCCAAAAGCCGGATGCTGTCACATGATCACATGCTCCGCATCCCTATGGAATGTCGATTAGGGAACCCCTAAACCCTAAACCCTGAACCATAAACTCTAAACCCTAAACCCCTTGATTTGGAACCCTGAGGTCTAAACGGGTTGGAACCCCAGAGTCCTGAAGCCCCAGAGTCCAAAGGCAGATGTGGAAGCAGACTCGGGGTTTAAGGTCAAAGGGGGGGCGGGGGGTTCTGTCACGCAAGGAGGCAGGTCCAGATTCTCCACACTTCAGGGATCCGGCGGCTTAGCAAGGAAGGCCATGCACCTTCCTCCAACTTTAGTTGCCCCACTTAACCCCCTCATCCGTTGAGCACTTCATCACGTCGCTCTAACATAGGAGTCGGAATAAGCACCAACAGGATCCCCTTGTAGTCTCAATAAAAGTGCAAGAAGCCCCCAGGCCCTATTCTAGTCATTCAGGCCCCTACATAAAACCCCTGATTACCTCATAGCAACCCCTATAGTACCCTTCTAAAACACGCTTTTTGAAACTCTTAGGGGACTAAGGTGTTTTGGGGGTTCGGGGTTTCAGGGCGTAGAGTCTGCAGGAATTTAGCAGGCCTGGGCTTCAGAGCCCAACGCACAAGGGGTTTGAGCAAGTACTGAGACCATTCCCTGATATTCCCTGTATACTAGTTGTGCTGTATTTCTTCGCCTTTTCCAGGCACCTGAGTTACTTCGGCTGGTGAGCTGTACTTGTGATGCCTTCAGCTGTCGAGTGGGGCATGCGTTTAGCGAAGACCATGGTCCAATCGGGAACCCCAAGTCCGAAAGCCCAAAACACGAGCCTAACAGCCCCAACCCAAAACTACCCCAAACCCTAAACCCTGAGCCCTAAACCCTAAACCCCAAACCCCTAAACCCCAAAACCCTAAACCCCTATCTTTTGCAACCTCAGCCCGAAACCTGAAGCCTGGAGAAGAAGTAGGGTGACCCTTACAGCGACCCTTTTAGTAACTCCAGTAATCCTCGTGATAGCCCTTCAAACCCCGAAGTAACCCGTTGTCCGTAAGCCCTTCGCCATCAGCCCTAAACCCTCATCTGCCTGTGGTCGTGCCATGGAGCATTGCAGTGACAGCGGCAGTTCTGCTGTAAAGAAGGCCTCGACAAGTTGGTTCAGAGGTCCACGAGGGCTTTGCGAGGGTTTCTGGCTTCAGAAGGGTTTGCAGTTGCGGGTTTTAGGGTTTCACTTGTACGGCTCCAGGGATGCTCGTGTGGCCTTAGCTTCAAGGCTTTGAGGATGTAGGTACGTCAGGAGACAAAGAAGCCATGACCGTACGATGTGATGTTTACTGCCTGCCACAAGATTCCATGAACCCTAAGCCCCTAAACTCTAAACCCTGAACCCCAAACCTGGTGGCGAAATTCATCCATTGCTCTTTCGAATCTGACGAAAAGCCGAGAGATCGATCCATGATGTTAAACATGTCAGCAAAACAAAACACGGACGATGAACCTCGTCGTGGCCGAGTACTCATGCTAATGGTCCAAATGCTGCCTGCGCTAGTCCGGTTCATGATCACTACAACAACAGCACCACCAACAACAAGAAGAACGACGACAACAGCAGCAGCAGCAGCAGCAGCAGCAGCAACAGCAGTAACAACAGTGCTGGAGAAACGGGTTTGTTTTTGCTTGCCGCAGCATTGCTTCAAGGCCGCTTCAAGGCCGACAGAGGGTTGATCCTTCCGGCTCTCGGGCGCAGAGGGCCATGGCAAGTGAGAGTGGGGGCGGCAAGCAGCAGCTGTCTCTCGGGTGCACTTGGCACCATGCATCCATCTCTCTGATGTCTCATGGGCTATGCAAGGTCGTGAAATTATGAAATACCTCTAGCATCGAATGCGGCTCATTGAAGCGTTTCAGGAGAAGACATGCCACATACCGGCAGGAAACCAAATTCCAGTAGGCTTAGCTGTCTTACAAAACCCTTTAGTAAGCGTCCCCTAAACCCTAAACCCTAAATCCTCAGAAGCCGGCCAAAGGCTGGTGTACACTGGCATGCTGGTGCTCGGACTTACCATCTCGCAGCTCTCTGCTGGCCACCTGAATGCCGGCTCGTACGCCTGGCCGCCTTTTAAGAGAAGGTCCATTTCAGCTATTTCGGTCCTTGGAGATTGTGGCTATTGGACTTAGCCAGCATACCAGCATCCGCAGTCCTAGGATGGTGAGAATAAGGAGGAAAGAGACGAAGAAGCAGAATAATGTGCTGATGATGAAGATGATGAAGACGTGATGGTGATACCGTGTCGATTATGACGGTGGGAGCGCTGCTGCTGCTGCTGCTGCTGCTGCTGCTGCTGCTGCTGCTGTTTCTTGTTGTGGTCGTTGCCGTCGCCAAGGTACGCTCTCTACGGCCGCGTTGTGGGTGTGCTGACGATGTTTGCGCTCTCCTTTCTGATGGTCAATGTGGGCCACGAGTTCGTGATCGAGCGAAGCAAGCTGGGCAATTATGCACAAGACTACTTGGCAGCTCATTCGTCCTAGTACCGCTTATTTTTTCTATTTATTCACACTAAGTCGCCGGCGGACCATCTTAGCCAGAAGGGTTTGGTCCACTTCCCTAAGGCCTGCACCCCAATAGGCTAGAGTAGCGAGGTGGCCATGTCCGCAGCTGGACTTCCTTGGATTTTTGTGGCGCTCTGGCTGCACTTTGCGCTGCCGAACTCCGGCTTGGCCTGGGGCTCCGCGCTTTTAATGGCAAGGTTTGCGGCACCGACCAGCGCCGGGATACTCTTCAACATGCTGGAGGCGAAACCTAAAAATCCCCCTAAACCCTAAACCCTAAACCTTAAACAACCCTAAACCCTAAACCCTAAAGCCTAGGATAGGCACTAGGATCACTATAGGAGCTGACCCCGAACCCTAAATGTCGAGGCCGCGGGCTTCAAAGAGACTTGGCTCTTTCGAAAGGCGCAGATCTTGGCCATCTTCGATGACTTGGATACCATTTTGCTTATGATCCCCTTGAAAATGTACTTAGTCGGCTTCAAGTGGGAACTCTCATTCGACGCAGTCTTCGTGACTTTATGCCTTGGGCTTGCCTGGCAAAAGCTACACAAGATTCGCCTGCAGAGTTCCTGGAGGTGGACCATGCTCTACGCAGGAATCATCACGGCTTGCTGTGAGGGGCTCTGCAACTTCACCTCAGGGCGCATTCACATCGAGGTGCTGCTACCAGCTTTTGTGATGGGTTGCATGACCCGGATTTGCGAGCCGAAAGATGACTGGTGCGAACTACTGGACGAGAGGAGGGAGGAGCAGGCAAAAAGCCTGGTCTCCACCTTCTTCATGCTCCTGGTGGGCATGTCCATGCCCTCCCTCTTCACGGCCGCTTGGAGCTGTTTGAAGCCTAAACCCAAAACCCTAAACCCTTAACCCTAAACCCCTAAACCCCTGAACCCCTTAACCCCTGAACCCCTTGAGCCCCTTGAGCCCCAAACCAGGGAAGACCAAGGCTGCGGGGCATCTCACCGCGGGGCAGATGGTCTTCCATGTGACGGTGGTCTCCCTGCTGATGATCTTGGGCAAGATGATGCTCTTGCTCCTAGGTGAGAAAGGTGGTGTAGCTTGAGCTGCTGAAGTCTGAAACATGGTCTTCTAGGCTCCTTCAAGAACGACTCAGGTTCTGCTACAGGAAGGAGGCGAACTTGCGGACCCGACTGGCTCTTTCACTGGGCATGTGCCCGCGTGGTGAGGTGCGGGCTGGGGTTCTTCCGCGGTTGAGGTTGATCTCATGTATGTGTAGGTCTACGCATACCTGCTGCATTCGTACGCACGTATGTATCAGCAGCTGCTTACCTACTCGCAACAAAAGTATCCAAGCAACAGAGACCCTGGTATACACCCGAAAGTAAGGACCCTGAGTGTCAAGCGCACGTAGTTTCAAGAAGTCCCTATCAAAGGTTTGTCGTGTGCAGACTGCAAACAGACGTTCTGCACTGACGTGCAATCTACCTACCTTCTCTATTTTTCGCAGTCCATGGAAAGATCCTCATTTAAAACCCTAAATCCGAAGGAGTGAAAGACGAAACTTCAACGGCAAGTGACAACAGCACGCTGAGGTGGGTGCTGGCGTCATTGCGATCTCCCTTGGCCTCGGCATGCAGGACGCAAACATTTTAGAGCGACAAAGGGAAGAGTAGGGAATTCCAAGCAGTGTCATGCTGTAGGTTGGCCGCAGAACAACCTAAAATCGAAGCACATGCAAATACATTCATAGGTGTGGGTCGCGACAAGTGATGGCAGTTTCGAGAATTACAATTACGACGAGATAACTTGTATCTCTGAGCATGGCGTGGCCCTAGCTCGAAACCCTTAAGCCTTGAATCCCATTGATCATGTCTAGATACCGGCTTACCCTTCGGAAAGAGCCCCCTTCAAAATCTCGCTGGCTTGGGGCTTAGGGACGGTTTAGGGTTTAGGGTTTAGGAAGGAGCCCCTAAGCCCTAAACCCCTAAACGCCAGGGCCCGGCTGTGGCCGTGGCGGTCTTGAGCCTTGCGGCGAACTTGGTCCTCTCCACGGGCTTCATCATGATGATCGATCGGCTTATGAGGACGACCTCAAGCCCTTTTGTGGAGCTTGTGCTTTTTCCCAAACGGTGTGGTATCTATGAGGTTCTTACATTCGGGATAGGTGGACTTGGTCACCAAGGGCACGAGATGTGCGGTTGGTTTTGGCTGGACTCGTGCTTCTACCGGAGTCCAGTGCTCATTTTGGCCGCCTTCTATTC